GGTGAGCGGGGGCCTTGTCACATCCCATTAGAGGCTGAGGCTGAGAGGGTTGGGGGCTACCCCAGGGCCTTGTCATTGGGCTCATTAGGGTCCTAACAGTATGCCGTAGAGGAATCTATACAAAGTTGCAACCAACCCTGGGCAAGTATGTCCCAGCAAATTAGCAGGAGCGGTCTCGGGGTCCCCTGTGACTAGTGACAATTCTGTTGAAATGTCTGCTCAGAATAAGACATGCTCCGTCCTGGATGGCTCTATATGGAGTTATGTGGGGTTAACAAATAGGTGTAGCACACACAGGTGTGTGTTTATTCTTTAGAGAACCCAAAAGAGGATGTGAAGAGAAGCTAATATTAATACAAATTGATCTATTTTCCTTAAGCATGAGTTTCAGGTACTCACTGTACTCTAATCCCTTTGGCTTTAGATATACAAAAACTCAGTTTGTGTATTCTGGGCTTTTTATTTTTAAATATGGAACGCTTCACAAATTTGAGTGTCATCCTTGCGCAGGGGCCATGCAAATCTTCTCTGTATCATTCCAATTTTAGTATATGTGCTGCCAAAGCGAGCATGATTTTGGGCTCTTTTATATATTAATTGACATATTACTTTCGTAAACATGAGGGATAATGAAGTGCCAACATGTTAATGATTTTGCGCACTCTGGACTGTTGTGAAATTTCGTTGCCATTAGATAATCACTGACTATGAGAGGACTCTATAAGTAGTTTAAAATGTTCTCCAGACAGGTTCATGACCTCTTAAATCAGTGTTGTACTCTGGAGATTTGAGTTCCTGAAATACACTGACCGAGTTGACCTAGACTAGTATATCAAGGGGAGGATGCTCTTAAGATTATTCAGTAGCCAAGGTGGGAGGGGGGGCAGGAGGGGGATCTTCTGGGATTTGGTGGTGGCTGAATCTGGAAGAGTTGACCTCCCAGATGCTTGCATATGTGCTTGAAAGGTTTCTGCCCCACCCCCCGCCACATGGGTATTATTTGTAAACGTAAGTGACTTACTGCTGAAGCCAGAGTAAACAGTGCTGCTTTCTGCACAGTGGGGCTGAGTGTGTGAACGACTAACGGCTGTCGTGTGGGAGGCTTGGATGGACTGTGTACTGGTTGAGGTTTGCTTCTGGGTAAGGGTTTTGTGAAGGTGCTGCTTTGGGTAACGGTTTTCTTGGAATAAGCATTTTACTTGTAATTGCACAAATCATCTCTTTGTCACCACTCATTATTTCCTGATGAGCAGTTGCTCTTCATTTACCAAAAGTAGGTGCCATCTAGGGGAACAAACCACAGCCATTTTAATTACCCTGAACTCTAACACAGAGTTAGCTTTATAGGAAAACAACCCGTTTACCAAAACTTTGCCTCAAAAACTTACAACTACTTTTCTTTCCTGGGGCCTCCCCCTTCCAAATCCTCCATTTTGGTTCTTAACCCAAACTTTATATACTAACTCAGTTTTAACACAGTTTCTAAGTATTTCCTGAAGTACATTAGTCCAAATGAGATACTCTGGGGGCAAAAGGTTCCATATTAAAACAATTTTGAGAAATGCTATAACCTGTGCCTGTACCTCTGTCCCCAAGGCTCACAACGCCCTGTCAACCTGCCAGGCTCATTCTGGCCGAGGACCTTTGCACTGCCCCGCTCTCCCATAGGTCCTCACACAGGTGGCACCTTCCTATCACCTGGGCCTCAGCTGTAGTGTCAGCTGCTCAGAACTGGGATTAACGCACTGTCTAGTCATCTCCTCACACTCCCGTCCCTTCACAGCACTGACCACCTCCTGGTATGTCCTTCCTTCCATCCTCCTTTCCCTCCCTCCCTTCCTCTACTTACTCCCCCTCCCCCTCCCCCTCCCCCTCCCCCTCCTCTCTCTCTCTCTCTCTCTCTCTTTTGTTCAGCATTGTATTCCTAGAGCAGAGCTGAGCCCTGAAAAGTCCATCAGTAAAGGTTATTTCCACAGTTTTGGAGACTCCAGCCCAGGGTTCTTGGCATCTTTTTTTACCTCCTTTCCCTCTTTCATTCCATTTCCCTCGGCCAATCTCGTCTCTGGGGTTCACTTCCACGCTGGCTAGTTTCTGTAAGCTATGCATCACCTCATGCAATTTCCCCAATAATGCTATGAGATTCATGCATTTAAAAATCTTCCAATTGCTTCATTCATTTCAGTGTTAATTGCTCAGAATCAAGAAAATACGTGCACCTTAAATTTCTGTAAGGGAAAGTAATGTCTTTAAAAATAGGGGGAAACGGGGGATGAAGTAAATGCCCTTCGAATGCTGGTCATCTTCCTGTGCTTAGGGAACTGGCTTGTTAAAAAAGAAATACAGAACTATCGGGGTTTGTATTTGGATCAAAGAGTAGCTTTAATTGGATCTGAAGTTATAAAGCACCCGAGTGGCAGGAATGTCCTCCTGCCAAAGTGAATGTGCCTGCAGGTGCTGTCCCCGAGCCGTGGTCCTCAGGTGCTTAGGTCCCCTGAGAGGCAAGCGCACTGAGAGACGCTTTTGAAGTGACAGGACTTACTCAGTAGCAAATAGACGGGTGTTTACTCATTCAGGAGAGCTGCAGCTGTCTTTTAAAAACACAGTGCCCTGCCTCTCTTGTTCAGGACTCCGTCCTGCCCTCGAGAGCCCTCCTTTTGCCCCTTCCATGCTCTGTGAGAGAACACAGCTCTCGGCATGTCTGCCTGCAGACACACGGCAAGCCTCCTGTCATCGAGGCTGCTCACCGGCACACAGTTGTGCAACCGGCTTATGGTGTCAGGTGCAAATGGATGATGGGAACGTGTGCGTTCCCAATAAAGCTGGTGTACAATGAGCGCCCTGTCTTTAGGACCAGCTTTCAGGTGCCTTCAGAACCTAGCTCTTCTAGTTCTCAGATGCAAGGTTGTCGTCAGAAGAACTTTATTTCCAAAACTGAGTAACGTTTTTACTTGTTCTGAACCTGACTTGTTACGTGTGGTTTGGTGTCCCACGGCTCCGGCACAAATGTTCTTGCCTGAGGAGGGAACACAGAGAGGGGTCAGGGGTCAGAAGTGGAGATGGAGACACAGTGCATCCATGCACTCACTCCACCAGTGTGCTTTGGAGGCCTGCTATTTGACAGGCACTGTGATTAACAAAGGAGGCATATGGGAGGGCGGCACACAGGACATGTAATGCTCACGTGTGCTAAGGGTTATGAAGAAAACAAACATGGTGCAGTAGTTAATGGGGTTGACTAAGGGCCCTCCATTCTGAGGAGACGTTAGGCTGGTGACATTACCCTGAGAAAAAGGGTAAGGAAGAGAGGCTCCGGGCTTAGGAAAGTTGGCAAACTATATAGATTTTTGTTAAAGGGTTGGTTGCAAATCATAATTCCTACTGCCCTTGCTATTAATATGCCCCAAATTCATTGCCCAGCTCCTTAAAAATCAAGACCCATTCCCAGGGAGCAGTTTAAAGTTTGACTAACCACCTTGATATTACTAACACAGGATATCACAGTATTTTATTTCTTTGTGTGTTTTTTTTTAAAACCAATGTCTAACATCATCCTATTTGAACTTCAGGGGCAAATGACTAGAAAGGAAGGACCTGGAAAGCTATCAGAATGTTTCCATTATAGGTAACAGAAGACTCAACTACCAGATTAAATGCGTAAGGTTTATTGTTTAACATAACAAGTGGGGTCAGGCAGTTCCATGGTAGGTTAACAGTGTCCCCCAACAATCAGGGACGCAGGCTCTTCTTTCGAAGCTGTCGTCATTGGCATGTGGGCTCTCCCTTCATGGTCACGAAGTGGATGCAGCAGTTTGGAGCATTACACTTTGGACATAGTGATAGAAGAGGAACATTTCTTCCTATGTGTTTCTTTTCAGAGATGGGGAGTTTTTAACTAGGGCTCTACCACAGACCTCTGGCTCATTACTGTCCAGAGGATTGAGACCACTCAAACTGACATAGATTAATCACCCCTGGGTTTGAAGAGGGGTGGGGACCACCTTTCCCAAGCGCACTGAAGGATAAACACCCAACAAAATCAGAGGGAGCTCAGCCAGAAAACAAGGGGGAGTGGACAGGAGGAGAGAATGGCTGTTGGGAAGACCAGGTGCAGGCCCTCAGGAGGCAATGGGACAAGTATGCCATTTCTCCTTCATCTTTACCCTCAGCCTTGTGAGGGAAAGTAGGAGAAATAGGAGGGAAATTGCTTAAGGCACCAACGAAAGTGGATTCCACACGCACCAAGCACCAAGGCCCCGGCTCACGTGGCTCAGGGTCCTGTCACTCATCTTGGAGAGAGAGGTTCTGGCATGTCACCTATCCTGAGAGGAGGTTGAGGAGGCCTGGGATGCACCTAGCACAGCAGGCCCTGCAGACCTTCCAGGTCCTCTAGGAGAGAACATCTTCCCTAATCGAGGTAGGACAGACGGAAAGGTAACACACTTAGTATCTGCTTAGAGTGGGCTAAGTACTGTTGTTGAATCCATTCATTTCAGAGAATCGGAAGGACTGAATTAATGAAAGTATGAAAGAAAAAATATTCTCCTTCAAATCATCTCAACAGTCAGATGTGGTGTATATTTTTATTCCTGCTCATAAGAAACGTTAAGAAACTGGCTCAAAGTCACAAACTTAATACAAGACAAAGCCAGATTTTAAACCTAGGTCTGATTATAAATCACATCCTATTTTCCCTTCACACGGCTGTCTCCTTAGAGGTAGAAGGCAGGCCTTCGCTGTCCTTGGCATTTATCTAACCACCGAGGCACACTCCCCTAAGATGTCTGAACTTCCTCTGAAAACGGGTTCCAATTAGTGTTACCTGAACACCGAATCCAGCTTTCATGGTTCTTTCCAAAGTTAGTTAGAATAGATGTAGCGTAAAAACAAGAGTGGGAAGAAACACACTGACACGTGTACCCTTTCTTGGCTGGACTTGAATGTTCAACTCGGATTGATATGCCTGACAAAGGACTATACCACCTTGTGCTTCTGCCCTGCAGGGGATTTCCAAAGAAGGCCAGCAGGACTGCTCGAATAGCCTCTGATGAGGAGATCCAGGGCACCAAGGACGCTGTCATTCAGGACCTGGAACGAAAACTGCGCTTCAAGGAAGACCTCCTGAACAACGGCCAGCCGGTATGGAGAGACCGGGGGCCTGGGCTTGGAACACACGCTCCCCACATCAGAGAGCTCTTCCCTGGCTTCACTAAGACTTAGGTTCTTAAGATTTGTCCACAAACCTGATTTTATTGCCTTTGGATCTCTACATTCCTCCTGTTATTCCATAAACTATTATTGGAGTCAGGATCGCAAGTTGGAGATAAAGGAAGAAGGGCTGATTTTAAGGTCTGGGGTAGAATAAATGCAGAACTGTGATGTTAAAAGAAAAAATAACAAACCTCTGGGAGGGGTAGAGGTGGGGAGGGAGGGAGAAGGTGTGCTATGGAGCAATCTGTCTACCCCAAAGCAGCAAATTAGAATTCAAGTACCAAAAGGAGAATTGGGATTCTATGGCATGTACTGATGCTACACAAAAAAATACCTTTACTAAGGAAATCATTGCTGGCGTCCAGTTCTATTCCACTAGACGATCACTATTGACTCAATAATCTGAAAGAGTAAGGCTGTTTCAGTCTTGTTCTGGTTTGTCAGAGCAAGACAACTAGATAGACTCAAGAAAAAAAATAATTATGTGAAGGCTGCAGAATTGTAGAGTAGATCAAGATTTCTCCATTGGACTTAAATGTTTCCTCATCAGTTGTTTGTTTTTTATGTTTTTTACTGACCCTTTTCTCATCACATCAGAATATTTTAAGGGGACAGGAAAAGCAAGTCTAGCAGTAAGATTTCCCCAATGAAGGAAAGGAGCCTTTGTGTGGCTTTATTATGGAATTAGCACCAGAAAATGTGCTTGGCTCTTAAGTACAAGAGGAAAAGGGCCTTTGTATAAAGTCTCCCTCTCAGACACCTTTTTCAGAATAGAAATCTCACGGTGCTAATTATGTTTTCTAGAAATTTTAATTATCAAGCATTGATAACTAAAAATGTGAGAACAGACCTTGTTTGAACAGAAAGGTGGAGAACAAAGGTGCTGATTTTAACTATTAGGGCATCCTGATCTGAGTTCAGGAAGACTAAAATCCTCATGAGATCTTGTGTTAGTTATTCATCTCACTGAGAACAGACATTTATAAAGGGAAATGCTTCTCCCTGAAATGATCGAGTGTGTCTGTGCACATACTCGGGACGTTTTCTCTGGCTCTGTCAATGGAAGCCTTTGAAAGGTTAAAACAAGTGCTTATGGAAACTTTTTCAGGCCAGGTAAGGAATGGCATCTCTCCACTTTGCTTCTTTTTCCTTTTTGGCTGTTTAAATATTCTTTATGGACTAAAATTCTCTTGGTTAAAGTAAGACTTCTATAAGATATTATAGCATACTATATATATTATATGTATATAGTATTTTTATTTATGTTATATTTCACTGGGAGATATATCTCCCAGTGAATGACATCACAATAAGGGCCATAGATTTCCATATTGGAGAGTTTAAAAGGACAAGGAAAGTAAGGCTTCCCCTTTTAGAAAATAGGACCCTCAAGCAACTTTTCCCTAATGTTACATATTATTGTTACTTCTTTTTGGCTTCCAAAGATAGGGCTTGTGTATCCACATGGCATAGTGCTTAGAGACAAAACTGTGGAGCACATTCGGCTTCTAATGATGCAAGTGCATTCCGGTGAAGGACTATGTGTCAAATTGATGTCTCTGTTTATGAGGAACAGAGTGGGAATTATTCCAGTCCTCTCTCTGCTGCTGATGCAGTTTTCCATGAAACTTTAGGAAGACTTTTAAGGGAGCAGAATTCATTGATTTTTATTTATTTATTTTTTTAGAATCGTGAGAAAAATAGCCCTAGCCAGTTTGGCTCAGTGGATAGAGCGTCGGCCTGGGGACTGAAGGGTCCCGGGTTCGATTCCGGTCAAGGACACATGCCTGGATTGCAGGCTCGATCCCAGTAGGGGGCATGCAAGGGGCAGCCGATCAATGAGTCTCATCATTGATGTTTCTATCTCTCTCTCTCTCCCTTTCCCTTCCTCTCTGAAATCAATAAAAATATTTTTTTTTTAAAAAGAAACATGAGAAAATTAATTTATATAATAACATACTGGGCTGAGACACTCCATGCACCAAACACCTACTTCTGCCTCTTCTTGTCCTCTGCCCTTCTTGGCTAAATGAAATAATTTGAACTTCAGGGCTGCTTGTCATTTGGCACTTGACTTGTTTCAATTCCCGGCTTCAGTTGGGCCTGGAACCAGTGATTACTGGAAATTATAAATTTACCCCACATATTTTTCTGATTAGAGAGAGTTTCCAATAGAATTTGTATCCATATTCAGAAGTTTAGAAGTTAATCTAAAATAATTTCTATACTATATTTTAGATCCTGCCTTACTAATTCTTCTTTATTTTCAGTCAAATCGTTGTTTGTAAAATGCCCCTGATGGGGAAATGGTCTCTTAAATTTCATCCCAGACCTGTAATTCTAAGGCATTTTCAACCCACCACTCAAGAGCAGGAATCAGCCCAACAGACAGAATAAAAATGTTGGCATTTCTTTTGTCCTAGCAAAAATGGTTTTGGCCAAATCCAAAAGTGCTGGTTGCTAGTGCAAAAACATGACTACTTTCATTTCTTGATAGGCAAGCAGTTTTCCTCTGAGCAGAATCATGAATTGTGGGTATTAGCATTAGGAAGTATCTTTCATAGTCTGTTTGCTAACTCAGCCATGTGCAGTCACTCTTTGTGGATTATTCTATTTGCCTCCATTCCCCCTATGTTACACAACAACCGAGAAAAATGCTCTCAGAGGTGAGGCCGCCATCACTGCCAGCTAGCCTAAATGTTTATCATTAAGAATAAGTTTGGGACACACATTTTCTGTGTGGTCTCTGCCTTGTTGCTTATTTTACTCACCTTGAATTTGTGTTCAGTTGGTGGCTTGAAAGGTTAGTTAGCCCATGTCCCAACACTGGATGAGGCCATTAGGAGCAGAAGGGAGGGGGGACTGTGAAAGTCGGGACAACTAAAGCCAGGGGAGGAAACAGATTCCTTTTGCACACAGGGATCTACAGGTAGAGATACAGTTACAGAAAACAGCAAAACTCGTTTGTGTGGGGGTTTTCATTCTTTTTCGTGAGGTGGTATACAACTGTGACTTTCCTAATGTTGTATTTTTTATGATTTACTCTGTTTAGAAGTTAACATATGAAGAAAGAATGGCCCGTCGATTACTAGGTGCTGACAGTGCAACTGTCTTTAACGTTCAGGAGCCAGAGGAGGAAACGGCTAATCAGGTACTGTGTTCCTCTGGGCTTCTTAGAAAACTGACAATTTCTGTGTCTCCTCTCCCCTAGTCTTTATGGACACTATTCTTGGTATTGACTCTGTGGAAAGTATAGGGCAGGTCAAAGAAAAGCATTATTTTATTTGTATTTACTGAGCACATACTATATGCTAGACATTGTGTTAAATGATGCATAGAATTATTTCAGTCAGTGAAATCTGTTCTCTTTACCTTCTTATTGATCAGTTTATTCTCCTTTCAAGTATCTTTCTGTTTTTCCTGACCTGTGCTTTCATGCAAAATAACTGTATGTGGAGAGTAACTTATTTTCCTTGAAATTGTTTGAAATATCTAGTGACTATTTCCAATTACATTTTTAATATTTAATCAAAGTAAAATAGCTACGTACAGAAAAACTGTATCTTTATTTTCCTTCACTTATATAGTTATAAATCACTGATCAACAGAAAACCTAAAATGTTCTCCTGTTACCACCAAAAAAAGTCATTGATATAAGCCATTGATTTTAATCTCCACTGCTTCTGTTTCCAGATGCAGTCTCCATATTAAAGAAAGTTTTAAAAATCAAGTAAACTCTTTCTTGTGTCTATAGAGAAATGAATCTGAAAGGTTTTCCTGTGTTAAATATAGCTACTGCAAAAATCTCCCTTAAAAAAAAAAACTAAAACTCTTGCTAGGTTATTATTTCTATTATTAGTCTTCACCTCTTTTTTTCTGCCATTACAGGAAATTGGGTCTCCTCATGCTTCTATAGGGAGTCCTCTGGATGGTCAAAAGGTTAAGCTTTCACCTTTCTTCTCTTTCTAGTCTTTCACTTTGTCTAGTTTCTTGTGTGCTTCCTTGTTTGCTGCCATGTATGAATCATAAATACTATGACCGTGTCTATTTTCATTTAATGCCAGATGAACAAAATTAGTGCAATGTGATTTTTCTTGTCATTTATTACAAATTTGAATTTGATTGTCATTGGTGGATACTCTGAACTTTAAACTGAAAAGTTTCTCATTGTTATACCTTTCTAGGAAAAAGTGCTAACTCTTAAATGGATTAATTTGATAGTAATTAGACAAAACAACTTGTGTGTTTTTTTAAATATATTTTTATTGATTTCAGAGAGTAAAGGAAAGGGAGAGAGAGATAAAAAACATCAATGATGAGACAGAATCATTGATTAGCTGCCTCCTGTACGCCCCCTACTGGGGTTCAAGCCCGCAACCCAGGCATGTGCCCTGACCAGGAATCGAATCAAGACTTCCTGGTTCACAGGCCGATGCTCAACCACTGAGCCAAGCCGGCTGGGCAATTTGTGTATATTTTGCAGTTTTATTCATAGTGTTGTCTTCTCTCACGCCAATGGACTGTTTTTTAAAGGTCGAGTAACTTCTTTCAGAGAAAACCTAGTTAAAACAATCTTCTATTTACTACTGAGTAGAAAATATCTTATAATGGGCTGCCTTGTCGTCTTTGTACTTTGTAGGCCAGCAACTGCAGTGCCCACGTTAATCACCACAGGATGGTGGTGGAGGCTTTGCTTTTGCAAACAACACTTAATTAGACTGTCAACCCTTTGTTTCTTTTAAGGGAGTGGAAAATAGTTCCTAATAACTGCAGAGCTGAGGGAGTTCAGAGGCTGTAAGAAAAGCATGGTGCCACTTTCCTGTGGTTTGTTTGATACAGTGCTGTGCAGCACTGCAGCTGCTGGCCACATGTACTGGTGTTGCCCTTCTGGAGAAGTGCACCCCCGGCGTCAGCGTTCCCCAGAGAGAGAAATCGGTGTTCCAGCATGCTTTATTTTTACAAACAGTTTAGGGTAATATAGCCATTGCCTTTCTCCCTGACTCCCACCCCCAAAGAAAAGAAATTCATCTTCATAGTTTTATACTTTGTTTTTTTGGATGAAGATAATTTGAAATATCATATACACTTACTCCCAGATGTTTTCTATTTCATATGCAACTGACATGGGCTCAGACCCGATTGTAGGCTCTGTGGTAAAAATATCACTGTCTTCTAAGAGCCTTCATTGGAGAGGGGATGAGGCTCGGGACACACTGTACCACAAGGGATTGAGGTTGTTAACAAGATCGTGCTCTGTTTGATCCAGGAATACAAAGTCTCCAGCTGTGAACAGAGACTCATCAGTGAAATCGAGTACAGGCTGGAAAGGTCTCCTGTGGATGAATCAGGCGATGAAGCCCACTATGCGGATGTGCCTGTGGAAAATGGAGTGGCACCAGTCTTCGAGATGAAGCTGAAACATTACAAGATCTTCGAGGGAATGCCTGTCACTTTCACATGCAGAGTGACTGGGAATCCACAGCCAAAGGTGAGCTGAAAACATGACTTTTTAGGAGTCATATTTTCTGAGGTAGAGTTTGGCTTCCAAATTACAGTATGTATAGTAGGAGAGAGAGATCCAGACCACCTTTCTCAATACCCATGATGTAAAATGCTTGAGGTACTGTAAGTTCAAAGCCAACTTCAGGAAGCATTGGAAATCAATAAGGGTGGAACAGGGGTATCGTTTGGGTTTGAAAAATAGAATAGAATTGAATAATTGACAGAAGCTTTTCATACACCTACATCATTTACTCATGTGACGTCATCAGTGCTACTTCCGAACTGCAAATGACTAAACTGAGCTCAGTGAGGCTAGTTAACTTCCCCAAGGCAGAGAGCTGGTGAGTGGCCAGGCTTGAACACGAGCCCGTGCACGGCACCATACAGCAAAGTGTGCTTACCGCTAATTATAAAACCAAAACTTCCAATATTACAAAAGGGGAGGGAATACTGTTGAGAAAGGATAATCAAAGAACATCTGGTACTCAGGAGGTCTGGGCTGACCTAACGGGGACCGCTCCATACAGAAACGTAGAAATGCAGATAGAGCTGCACTGTCTTTACAAGGGAGACGAGATTAACCGCTTAGTAGCCCAGCAAAGCAGTAACAGAATGACACTTTTCCCTAGAACTTGAGAGAATTAAAAAAAAACCACACACACACCCATGAGAAACTGAAACTTCAAATTTACCCTATCACATGATATGGAGCCAAAAGCTGAGAAATTAATAAGAAATCGAGTCCAGGATAATTAAAATATTTAGGTTTCTGGTGAAGCAAGCAAAGGTTATCTTGTCCCATAGGACAGTTAGGGGCATATCACACTTCTACAGGGAGGGAGGGAGAAAAAATGAGTTCCTAGTAAAAACTTACAAACCCATATGAGGAAATAAGAAAACAGAAGTCAGTCAATGACATTATATGGAATAATCTTGATACTATAAAATAACTGTTCAAAATGATTGAAGCAATTTTTAAAGGAATAGAAAGTTTAAGAAAGAACAGGACAATACTAAAGACAAGGAAAATTTGTAACGTAAGCACATAGAAATGAAAATCACACTCACTGAAATTAAAAGCTTACCAGGGGTGTAAAAGAGCTGAAATGAGAATCAGTTGAATGGAAGGGGGGAAAGTGATATGAAATACCTGAAACTTCTGTGTGTTAATGCTCCACATTGTTGTTTTGTTTTCTCAATAAGGTAAGTTTTACCATCATGTTCTTTCTCTAAAACCAAATTCTAAGCCCATAGTCAGAGAAACATAGAAAAAGAAAAAAAAAGCCTTAAATTTTCAACCCATATCCACCCCTAACAAAAGGAGACTTCTAAATAAACTGTTATTAGAGAAAACTTCTTTATGATATTCTTGGCATAATTTTGGTAATTGCTGTGTATTCACACACATGATGCCAAATGCATACATTAAAAATCAACTTGCAGCTTATGAATGAAACTGAGTAAGAAATTATATCTTGAACTTCCATAATATTCATAAAAGATCCTATGTTAAACATTAATCAGTGCTTAAGATCACTGATGTAGTTCTAAGATTACTGATTCCTGTCCTTAAAGGATATTATGTTCAACTTGAAGATGGGCTATTGTAAGTAACAGAACTGCGTTTTTTCTAGTACAAGTTTAAATATTTCTTGGCTTTAAAAGGCTTAATTTTTTTTTTTTAGAACTTTTAATTAGATTTTCTTCATCCTTCCTTCTTTCCTCATTGCCATTCTTTTCTTCCCTCCCTGGTTTAAAGAAGAATTGCTCTTTTTTTTCTGCATGATATATAAATTAAGATTATTAAAGTATGGAACACTCACTATGTTTTTAAAAATGTATTATGCCCTTGACATGCTTGTTCTGAGACATGAGAAGACTAAACAGTAGTCTTGGTAAAATTTTGGAACTTTTTCTTAAATTTCATTTGCAAGTTGTATTCCAAGTATAATGGAGGTGAAAAATACAATTAAAGGAAAGAAATGACTCGGAAGAACTGGATACTAATTACAGCTTCTCTGTTCCATCAGCAATCATGGAACCACTAAGTAGAGTATGATAATTATAAAGTATAATGCTTTATATAGTTTAATTTTTTAGAACTAAAAGTTATTAGTCTAGTTGATTATTTTTAGGTTCTGGAGACTAAAAATAGTTTCTGTAAATTTGGAGCTAACTGAAAAATAGAGGTTGGAAGAGTTATAGCAGTCAGACCCTGGTTATTCATGCACTTATTTAGTGCTGTATGTCTCAGGCCTTTCCCTATGTTTTGAAGTGGACGTTTCAAAAAGATTTTTCAGATTCAAAGGCTCTGACAGGGAGTTGAATTTGAATGCCAGTGTGGCATTGAAAGCTGAAGGCTCTAAAGGAGTTTTCACCTGTTAGGAATGCTTTTGGTTGCAAGGGACAAAACTGACAACAAAGAACTTACTGTGGCTTAAAAACAGAGTGATTTATTTCCTTCCCTACCAGTTAGTCTGGAGGTGGGTAGGCATTAGTGCAGCATTTCAATCATATTAGGGCTGTCTTTCAACTGTGTAGTTCAGAAATAATCAAAAATCATGAGCGATCCATTGACCAGTAAAAGAAGGAAGGAAGGAGGATCTACAGAAGATGTCATATGACCATTTAAATGTTTATTTCACCAAGATTCATTTTTACTTTATTTTTTGCATTTAATTTTCTACCAACCCAAGTTAAAATATTATTTGAAAATTATTACATTTAAATACTATTGTGTTTTCTTTAACATAGTGGAAGACCTGGCAAACTTTGAACCTTTGGTCATATGCTCCTGGTCTGGAATTAAAGCAGTAGAGTTCCACCCGCCACCAGCCCTGAACTGCTGCCTGCCTCCTCCCCACCATTTTAGTGTCTAACATGGTTCAGTGGAATGATTAGAGTTTTGGGTCTGTTTGTGTTCTCTAAAATAACCCTTTACCTTCACTGTATAAGTACTACCTTCTAATTGAGTACATTTGCAATTAGAAAGAAGCAAAAAGAAAAATAGTATATAATAAATGACTGTAAATACCTACTTAAATATTTTTAAAAGTAAAAGGAGAATATATAATTTTTTAAAACTAAAATATAATTAAATTTGCTTATTACCTACTCTTTTCACTTAAAATTCAATTGCCTGTTCAGATGTTCCAATTAGCATTTGAAAGTGAAAACTCAGATCAGCTCTGCAGACTATAGTTATTTATCAGTCCCCCAAACAGTACTACACACACCCTTAATTTTTAATCTTGTTTCTTTTCACAGATCTACTGGTTTAAAGATGGAAAGCAGATCTCTCCCAAGAATGATCACTACATCATTCAAAGAGATCTTGATGGGACGTGCTCTCTCCACACCACAGCCTCCACCCTAGATGATGATGGGAACTACACCATCATGGCTGCAAACCCTCAGGTAAAGAAGGGTATATACAGGTCTTGCTTCAGTTCTGTGTGCAGCTGACCTTTGAATAGCACAGGTTTGGACAGCACAGGTCCACTATCTGTGTGTTTGGTGGTGGTGTTGGTTTTTTGTTTGTTTGTTGTCAGTAATTGAAGTAAATGTATTTTCTCTTATGATTTCTTAATAACATCTTCTTTTCTCTGGCTTACTGTATTTAAGAATACAGTATATAACACAGATAACACACAAAACATGTGTTAATCGACTGTTTATGTTATCAGTAAGGCTTCTAGTCAACAGGAGGCTATTAGCTTGGGGGAGTCAAAAGTTATATGGAGATTTCAAATGCGGGAGGGGGTCAGCTGTCTAGAGCTTACAGACATTTATCTGAACAGAGGAACTGTTTGATTAAAAGATGGAATATTACCTCTTTGATTTGAAACTATTTTCCCAATTTCTACACCATCTCCATTTGAAGGGGTAGAAAAATTCTTTTCTTTTTTTTCCTGAGTATTTATTTATTCCACCAGGGGTTTTTCTATATGAGTAATTCTGGTGCAGATGTGCCTTCTTTCCATACTACCAAGGGCCTAATATGTACACCTATGATATAGGTGATAGGCAAGACAAAGTCCTGAGACAGAAAATAAGCCAGCAAAAAATACAAATCATATATCAGTTCAGATAGGATTAAGTCTATGAAGTGAAAAAAGGAGAAAAAGATGAGATGTGTGTATTATGCTATAGTAAAAAACAAAAAAGTACAATATTTAAAATAGATATATACCCACACTGAAATCAATGGGATTTAAATAATGTATAAGTGTAAATCATAGTTCTGATAGTACCCATATAAAGGAGTCCCCTCTAATCTGCAGATTCAGTTACCAGTGGTCAATGCAGTCCAAAAATATTAAATGGAAAATTCCAGAAATAATTCATAAGCTTTAAATTTCACGCCCTTCTAAGCAGTGTGATGAAATCTTATGCTGTCCTGCCTGGGACATGAATCACCCCTTTGTCCAGCACAATAAGATTTTTTGAGAAAAATCACATTCACGTAACTTTTATTATAGTATATTATAAAATTATTCTATTATTGTCGCTAATTGCTTACTGTACCTAATTTACAAATTAAATGTGATCATAGGTGTGCATGTAGAGCAGCGGTTCTCAACCTGTGGGTAGCGACCCCTTTGGGGGTCAAACGACCCTTTCACAGGGGTCGCCTAAGACCATCGGAAAACATATATAATTACATATTGTTTTTGTGATTAATCACTATGCTTTAATTATGTTCAATTTGTAACAATGAAAATACAGCCTGCATATCAGATATTTACATTACGATTCATAACAGTAGCAAAATTACAGTTATGAAGTAGCAACAAAAATAATTTTATGGATGGGGGTCACCACAACATGAGGAACTGTATTAAAGGGTCGCGGCATTAGGAAGGTTGAGAACCACTGATGTAGAGGAAAAGCATAGTATACACAGCATTGGTATTAACCATGGTTTCTGGTATCCACTGGGGGTCTTGGAAGGGATCTCCTGCAGGTAAGGGGGGACTACTATAGCATTCAGGATTTTTTGTTTGTTTCCATCCAATTGTTTTCTCTTGTTTTAGGACCAAAAAATCAATTGCTTAGAATTTAATAGGCGGCTACCTGGGTATCATGTTATCATTCCAAAACGGCAAATTCTTTTTTATTGAATATCTTATATATTTTAGGCACTATGCTGGGGACACAAAAATTATTAAGAAGTTACTTTGTACATTAGAACTCACTGTGTGATGGGATATTTTTACAAAGTCAGCAGAAGTCATGTAAATAATGCCTTTTTTTAAGAAAAAAAAAAGGAAGCTAAAGTTAACAGTTTTCAAGAGGTTGTTCTAAAATCATTTTTTAACATTCCAGTCATACCATATTTCTTTTTAAGGAAATATTAAGTGTCAGAAAATGATAGATAATTTTAGCAACTTTTACAAATGTGTAAGTTCATTCAGTGTCCTCCTATCCTAATATCACGTTGTTGTATAAAGATATATTTCTAAGGTAATACTAAGATTAGAATGAACCTCAAATCATCTACCAATTAGGTTGTGACAGAGTACAGCAAACTCTTCAGTGACAGAGGACAGTTTCCACATTAGTGCACTTTCTCAAGGTGCTAATGTTTCAATCAATGACTACATGGCCATCACCTTGAAAAATAGTCAAAATCACAACCTTCACTGAAAAGTTACATGTTAATGTTTATTTGTGTTCATTTTTGGTGTATTTGAGGGAACAAAAGTGGAACCTACTTTTTTTTTCTTACTATATTTTCAGTATGTTTCCTTGACTATTAACAAATTTCAATTTTTAGTTCTCTGCCTACTTAACACTTGGAGTGGGGGAAACGAGTTAAGTCGGCTCGCGTGAATTGCGCGTACTCCGCGGGAGCCGTCTTTAACTCGGTTCATATAGATTTGCGGTGGAGTGCGGGAAACGTGTAAACTCGGGCCGATTGTAGTGTATTTGAGGGAACAAAAGTGGAACCTACTTTTTTTTTCTTACTGTATTTTCAGTATGTTTCCTTGACTATTAACAAATTTCAATTTTTAGTTCTCTGCCTACTTAAAAGTGGAGAACTCAACAAAAATCTAAAATGTTTCTTTCTGTTGGGTTCTTTATTCCTCTTTCCCCTAGGAAGACTGGGATATATTAAGGAGACAGAATTAACTGTGTCCCTTAAACTTAAACAGTACTGGGATCCTGCTATGGATTTCCAGGCATGTTTCCCTGGCAAATGTGTTAAGCTGTTACTGGAGTAAGCAGTTTAAAACTCTGATTATGAGTCTACTTCTCGTCTTCTTCAAATTACACTAATGAATTTTCACATGTAAAAAAGTTGTAAAGGGGAAGGCCTCCCTGTGCAGTGCCTGTGAAAGTGTGCAGAGATGAAGACAGCAGCCCCGCCTCAAGGGCCTCTGAGCATTTGAACTATGATGGGTCACTAGATAAAAGAGGGCTGCTAAAGATTAATTCCCCTTGGAAACAAAGAAAAGGAGGAAGGGATAAAAACCAAAAGAAGGTACTGAAAAGCCTAGAGGCTGTATAGTTCAAAGGTTAAAAGCACAAAACTTTAGCAGCAACCAGACCTGAGTTGGAGTTCTAGCTCTGCCACTCCTGACCTGTGTGACCTTCAGCAAGTCACTTAACCTCTCTGTTCCTCTTCTATGAAATTATAATAATACTAGAGGCCCAGTGCACAGATTCGTGCACTGGTGGGGCCTCTCAGCCTAGCCTGCGCCCTCTGGCAATCCGGGACCCTTGGGGGATGTTGGACTGCTGGTTTCGGACCGATCCCTACAGGGATCAGTTTGGGCCGAACATCCCCCAAGGGATGTAGTAGTGTGCGAAGCGGCAGGCAGCCAGGGAGGAGCCCAAGCCCAGGCCGGGCACCATGTCACTACCACTAATCCTGCCCCGCCACTCCCGTCATTCAGTAGCACTGCTGCGGAAGGGGGAGAGGCTCGCGCCACTGCAACTGTGCTTGCCAGCCGTGAGCCCGGCCTCTGGCGCCCATCAGTCAGCTGAGCAGTGCTCCCGCTGTGGGAGTGCACTGACCATCGGGGACAGCTCCTGCATTGAGCGTCTGCCCCCTGGTGGTCAGTGCACATCATAGCGACCGGTTCGGTCATTTAGGCTTTTATATATATAGACTAGAGGCCTGATGCATGAAGATTCGTGTAAGAATGGGCCTTCCTTCCCCTGATTGCTGGCACTGCTTTCGCTCCGGCCCGGAGCCACCTTCCCACGCTGCCCAGAGGCCCCGAGCAGCTGGGGTGGTGCGGAACGCCTGCGTCATCACCATGGCGATGACGCAAGCATCCTGCCCCGCCCCCGGTGCCTGTGTATGCAAATTAACCTGCCATCTTTGTTGGGGTAATTTGCATACTCACTCCTGATTGGGTAGTGGCATAGCGAAGGTGCGGTCAATTTGCATCTTTCTCTTTTATTAGTGTAGATTGGTTTCAATAATATATGTAAAGCACGCAGTTTACCTGGCACATATTTCACTTTCAATAAATGCTAGTTATTGTCATTATTTTAATTCAAAGACACCATTAACCCTGTCTTAGAGAAGCAGCCCAAAGAGGTGGAAGAAGCCTGAGGAACCAGGATATAAAGGGTCAGTCTGTCTGTTTCTAGGTGCCCTGCTCCCACAATACCATTAGAGAGTAAGCAAGTCAGTTTGGGATAGAATTTCTACCCAAAATGTTGCTGATGTGTGGTCTTCTGACCTCCTGGCTTTTCCTTTTTACCACCCCCATGGGAAAGGAGTAAGGCAGCAGACATGGCTCTGCCACAGCTGTGGGCTTCGGTGGAGGGAGCCCTGAGCTAGCGCGGGGCCACGCCCACAGCACAGCTGACAGGGGCCACACATGAAGACAGCAGCTGCTCTCTGCTCCCAGCACACTCAGGACCAAGAGAAGGCACCAAAGAGAGCCTCGCTGCCCTCATTTAGGCTGCAGAGAGCTCTGCCGCTCTACCTGGTCCAGGAGGAGCCCCACTGAACCCTCACTGGTGCTTTGACTCGACTCCCCTTTGATGAGAAGACAAAGAAAGAAGTGGACCCATTTACCTCAGGTAGCCACAAGCCCAGCCCTTCTCACAGAACATCCCAATTCTCCTGTGATTAAGCAAATAGTAATATGACTGCTCTCAGGGAGCAAGAGTCAAAAAGCCCCAGTGGTCAGCCACCAGAGCAGTTCCTAATATCTAGAATCCCCAGGTTAGTGGATTGGACCATTATTCTAATTAAAAGGGTGGGGCTAAAAATCTCTTTTTCTATCTAAATGACCAAAGGCAGGCATAGGAGGGGAAACTCAGGAAGGCAATCTGAGGAAATGCTAAAGGTGGGCATTTATGCCTAAAATTGAAATCGTTGTGAGAGAATATTTATAGCACTTGGTAGTAGTCGCTGTGCCAAGTTTCTGAGTATGTTGCCAACTCCTCTT